TGTATATATATATATAATCCCTTTTTCTATCCATCTGAATATATGGATGATAGTTCACTTCCCTGAATAGGGTCTCTTCCCTGAAATAGTGGTAGAGATGTTTTTAAAATGACTGTAACAAAATGTTACAACTTTTACCAAGCATATGTGTAAGATTTTATGCACAATCCCAAGAGGAAGAAAGGAAGAAAGGAAGGAAGGAAAGGAGGGAGGAAGGGAGGGAGGGAAGAAGGAAGGAAAGAGAAAAGTAGCACTTGACTGCCTATAGAATAAAATGAGAAGGGTAAATTCTATTGCTTGAGAAGGCCTTGTTGAGCTATTGATTTGGCTGCATCATTTAATTGGAGAATTCTTAATGTTACTATATGTTTAGTCATTTGTTTTTCTTTTTAAATAAGTTAGATATCCAACATAATATTTTTCAGATCTTCCTGGAAGGACTTGTTCTTTGAAAATTAATTAGGAAAAGAAACCTGGGAGACTGAAGATTTAGACCATTTTACTATAAACAGCATACATTAAACTGTGTCTGCTGTCCTCCAATCTAGGCATTGTGTTAACTTCAAAAACGGAAAAACCTATCTTCCAATCAAAGTGAACACTTCATTTTGATGTGTGGGTAGATGAGGGCATCTGGTAGTTCTAATGGTTTCTTAATAACAATTTTGATTCTGTTTTTTTTTTAATTTTTCTCTATCAATTTCTGAGTCTTTGGAATTTTCCTAGGGATAAATTGTATTTCTTGTTCACACTCTTTTTGTCAGGAAAGGATTAAAAATTGTCAATGTCAATAAATCAGTTAGAGTCAGTTGATATATTCTGAAATTCCCAAAATATAATTATTTTACTTGTCTTTTGTTAACTGTTGTAGGCCTCTCCTTAACTTTCCTTTTTCATTCTTCATTAGGGAAATTTTAAGAGGAAGAAAAGTTAAGTGCAAAAATTTGCCTTTCCTGTCTTTTTAACTTGAAGTTTGAAAGTGAAATTTGGATATAATGAGAAAATCCCTGTAATATGCCTATGAGAATATAATGGAAAATCTGTTCTTACATTATTGATGCTTTAACAGTAGAATCCTTGTTTAATATGATTTTTGTTACTGCTATGATTTTTTTGAAAGACACTAATATATTTGAGATGGAATCCAATTTTTAGGCAATCTTTAGAATATTAAAATAAACAATTCACTTCTTTTATTATGTATAAAAAAACCCCACAAAATCACATCATATAGAATTCATTTACCTACGCGTCAGTTTACAATAGTTTATTATCTTTTGTTTTGCAACAATTTTATCCTTATCATGAAACGTAATTTTAGATCAATCATGTCAAAATCCAGTATGTATGAGTGCATCGTTATGTTTGTTATAACTAAACCATTTGTCTTTTGTCTTTAAGGTTTTGATTCCATAGGAAGAAACAACTTAAAACCTCAGCCTAGTGTTTCTCTTGATACATTGGTTTATTTGCCATATCATTATTCCTTGAGTCAGGTCTGAGATTAGTGTCTAAATAGTAACAGGGAACTAGCAAGCTTCAGTACTGGAGGTCAATTTAATTATACTGTGCATGACAGAAACTAGGCCATGTGGGTATTGCCTTTGCCACCAGCAATTGACACCTGAGTGTTAATGAGCTGGTAATTAAGAATTGGCACATACAGACACATTTTACTGTCTGAGACTAGGCTAACCATATGCTACATAACTTCTGTGCTAAGTGCTTTGTTAGCTTCAGAATTAGACTATTATGTTTGTGAAGTTTCTCAAATGCTATTTTTTTTCTACAAAAGATAAAAACTTTTAAAATGACTGTCTTACCATTTTTAATTTATAAAATTTTCTAAATCCAGCAAGATTAATATGAAGAGAAATATATTAAAAAATTACAGCTGAAGAATTTGTGCAGAAGTGTTTACTTTTACTTTAAAATTCTTTATAGGATTTTTTTTTCTTTGATGATTCATTTATTATAAAAAAAATAAAAGGAGCAAAAACTTTTCATGAATATACACGTTTGAGAAGACGGCCTCTGTCATTCAGACCTCTCTCTTGAGTGTAGATGCCATGCAGTTAACCCCTCTGAGAAACAGCAGTGGCTGAAGGGAGGGCAAGTCAGGGTGTAGGAACGGCAATGCCATCATTCTGAGAAACTCCTCTTGTACTCTTTCATTGTTTTTGTGTTGTTTTCAGAAATACTATGGAGGCAGCTGTGTGGTGAAACCCATTTGGGGAAAGATGGAAGCAAGTCAAGCACTACTTGATGAACTCGGCCGCCCTCTCTCAAGTTGAGTGTTCGGACCAGACTGCACCCCAGCTAGCAGCAGGGCCGAAAATCTCCGGAGAGACCCAAGCCAGAGGCACGGAGCCCAACTGTACTAATTCTGAACCACACAAACTGTGAGATAAATGTTGGTAGATTATGTTGCTATGCTCTGAGGAGTATTGTTACACAACAATAGATAGCTAATACAGTAGATAAGTGAGGATCCCATTGTCCGTTCCAGTAATACAAAGCATTGAGTTTTCTGGTGTGATGTGGCTATTTTCTCAAACACTATATATATAAAACGTGCAATTGCTGTTCCTTTGTATTCCTCTTCAGTTCTCAATTCTACTCTACTCATCACCTCACACACACATTCTCTTCTCTCCCCGTTCTGTGTCAGATATATATATACACACACACACACACACACACAAGCAGAGGCCCCATCATTTTCTGGATTAATGTATTGGCTTAAAAAATAAAACTCTTCTCATCAGATGAAATATGTATTAACTTTGGTGAATTTCAGTTGTGGGAATTACTTCTAATTTTCTTCTTTGAAAGCATTTGCTTTTCTATGGAACCCTCTGTAGGACATATAGCCTTTTATATGCAGATTGGTATAATTACACTTTGAAATGGCTTTGAATTCCCTGTAGCTTAAGCTGGGAACATGAAAGGCCAAATGTTATACTGAACTGAAGAATTCAAATGTTAGTGCACATCAATCCAAAATGAGATATAGGAATGAACAGCCCTTTGCACAGTGCTGCCAGTTTTTGATAGATTATTGAAGGATCTTTATAACTGCACAGACTGGATGGCATGAGCTTGCAGCACGGTGATGGCCTTATCTGTTCATATTTTTTATTCTTTCAATACCAAAGGGGGTGAGTACCTGTAAACTGAGGTAAAAGAAATGGTCTCTGACAAAAGCGTTTCCTCTTTTCCAGAATGATAACCCTCGGCCCCACCTTAGAAAACAATACCTTCTTTTCTTCATATTCCACTCTCCTTTTATGCCATGACTAACATGCAGTATGATTGAGCAGACAGTAAACGTCACTACACAAAGTGAGCAGCAATTGTGGATCTTATTATATTTTCATTGGGAATAAACCTTGTTCTTTTCCTGGCTATGACCCCTTGATTAAGAACTGTATGAAATTACAAAAACTTAATAAAAAATATTTAAAAAAGAAAACAGTATCTTCTAAGGAGGGAATTGTCTACTCAATCTGTCACACAAGAGACGGCAGCCTAGGTGACACAGGTCACATTTTAGGAAGTCGGTGGCCAACACTTACCTCTGTCTAGAGCCCAGTGACAAACAAGGAAATCTCTTCTACACAGGAAACAAGGTCCCAGTGTCAGTTCAGAAACATTAAGAGTTTGCCATCAAACTATATTATATGAATATTGCCAAAATTCAATAAAAAGTAAAATTATATTTTGTAAAAGAATATTTAAAGCTGGAGCTGGAGGGATGGCTCAAGGTTAAGAACACTTGCTGCTCTTGCAGAGGACCCAGATTTGGTTTCCAGCACACATATTTGAATCACAACTGCCCGTAAGTCCAGGTTCAGGAGATTCAATGCCCTCTTCTGGCCTCTGCTGGTACCAGGCATATACAGTGCACATACACACATACAGGCAAAACACTCAAATAATTAAAGTGGATAATTTTTTTAAGAGTATTTAAACCACCTGCATTCCTTAATACTACCCATGGAAAGATAAAAAGAGCAATGTGCTTGTGTGAAGTCAAAACATGAGATCAATACTAACGTTATTTAAAAACAGATTCTAGAAATTAACTTCATTTTAAAAGAATATATGACATCTACTTTTAATATTCTGCAATTACCCTGACTGATTTGGGCTAAATAGATCTCACAATTCATATTTGTATTAGCTGTGCACAAACAATATCTATTTTCCTACTTAAAGGGCATACCTTCTCGTAAAAGATGTTCTAAATATATGAATGAAAATCCACCTTGATTAGGCTCCTAAAGAGAAATATTGTAAAATTTGAGGTGAGATGCCTAAAATTTTGATGTCTCTAAAAAGCACAGACATTAAATATTTACAATTGAAATTAGAGAATGACAGTAAGCCATTTTGAACAAAATATATACTTAGAAACAACAGCTAATTCAAACAGTACAGAGCAGGTAGTAGATGCAATAAATATTCGTTCAAACTAGACTAAGATTTCTCTCATGTTTGACATCTTGCAAAACCTTCAACTTACTCAATTTCAAAGTATATATCTGAAAAGAAATGATGATAATTCAAGTAGTAGTTGAGGAAAACATAAATGCCAATTAGCTCTGAAACTGTCTTTTTCAAAATATAACGATCTGGGTTGGAGAGATAGCTTAGCAGCTGAAAGTGCTTGCTGCTCTTCCAGAGGGCCCGAGTTCAGTTTCCAGCACCTATGTCAAGAAGCTCAAAACCACTGTAACTCTAGGTCCAGTAGATCTGGTATGCTCTTCTGGCATGGTAGAATCGTGCAAGGGATCGGGAAGTGAGAGTGAGAGAGGGAGAGAGAGAGAGAGAGAGAGAGAGAGAGAGAGAGAGAGAGAGAGAGAGAGAGAGAGAGAGACTGAGACAGATGTATAGAAAGATAAATGAATAACAACAGTAAATCTTTAAACAACAGTTTTATACAACAATTTGAAATGCTGTTTCTCTGGAATGAATGATATAAATTTGAAAATTTCAAATGTTTCAAACTTGTATTTGTAAATTAGTGCGTATGATGGATTAGAATCATGCCCCAGTTTTCATCTGTTGAAAACATAGGAAATAGATAATCTATAATTTATAATCTATAGCTATACTACCTGAAAAT